CATGAACACAGACAGTTCATACAGAAAGTAGACTGAAGGCAGATCAGTGCCCAGGGAGCAGAGACACAAGATGTGCCTTAGGAATTGAGTGTTGGTGGAATTTGACATGCTTTTCAGGATTTCCGTCATAGCAAAACAGCAAACAGGGTGTTTCTCTAAGGGTCACGAGGTGTAGGATAAAAATATTAACAAAGAGAAGAGATGTGTAAAAAAACGGAGAGGGAGATCATTATTTAATTAACCTCCCAGAGCACCCCAGGATTCTAAGTCCCCAGACCACCATCCTCCAGATAAATCCTAGCCCTTGGGAAAGTAAAGGAAAACAGCCCCTCATTTAGGCCAGGGGCTGAAAATGGAATGTAGGCAAACATCTGACATCGGCCATCTAGCCTCAGAATATTCCCTGCTCCTTGAATGGTCCCATATATCCTCTCCTTTGGAAGACAGTGACCCTAACGTGCCAGGAGACCCGCATGAGAGCAGCAGTACAGCATTCTTCAGATGGAGTCAGCTGTCTCCTGTAGGGTCTCCTGAAGGTTGCCAGACGACATTCTTCCCATCCCTCACCTTCACACTCTACAGCCGAGCCAGCCTGAAACACGTAAGTCAGACTGTCAGGGAGGGCAGACCGGGACTCTTGAAATGGGCAAGAGCTGGTGTCCACAGAGAGAATTTCTTCTTCATCAGGGAAGCCTCAGCTCTGTTCCTAAGGCCTTTCAACTGGTGGAACCAGGCCCACCCAGATTATCTAGGATAATCTCCCTTACTTATAGTCAATTGATTATGGACTGCAATCACATCTACAAGATACCTTCACAGAAACACCTAGATTAGCATTTGAATAACTTGGCACTGTAGACTGGCCAAGTTGACATATAAAATTTTTCATGATGACAATCAAAATTTCCCTGATGACTAATGATGCAGAGTAGTTCCTTCATGCACTTATGGCCAGTCAACAGATCTTCTTTTTAAATATTGCTCATTTGAAAAATGGATTATTTGCCTCTTTATTACTGAATTGTAAGAGTTATTTTGATATCCTGAATACAAGTCCTTTATCAGATAATGTTTTGCAATTTTTTTCCTCCCAGTCTGTGGTTTGCTTATTTGTATATTTGTTAGTATCTTTTTTTGAGCAGAAGTTTTGAATTTTGATGAAGACAAACATCAATTTCTTCATTTGTGTTTTTTGCTTTTTGAAACATGACAAAGAAACATTAGCCTACCTCCATGGTCACGAAGATTTTATCTTATGCTTTAGACTTTTTGTAGCTTTAGCTTTCACATTCAGGTCTAGGATCTATTTCAAGTTAATTTTTATTTATGGTGCGATGATTTATTTTTTGTCTTCATTTTCCCCATACAGACCTTCAATTTTTCCAGTTATCATTTGTTGAAAAGGCTTTCTTTCCCCCATCAAATTGCCTTGGGACTTTTGTTGAAAATCAATTGACCAAATACATGGGGGTCCATTTCTGGATTCTTTTCCATTCCATTGAGCTATATTTGGTATTGTTTCACCAATACCACATTTAATTGATTAATATGGCTTTAAAGTAGGCCTTGAGATCAGGTAGGTTAAACCCCCCAACTTTGTTGTGCTTTATCAAGAATGCTTTAGAAATTTTAGTTCCTTTATATTTCTCTATATATTTTAGAATAAGACTCCTAGTTTCAAAAAGCCTCCTGGAATTATGTATGGAATAACATTGAATCTATAGATGAATTTGGGGGAGAATTGACAACTTAACAATATTGATTTTACTTCCAATCTGTGAACATGGTATATCTACTTATTTTGGTTATCTTTAATCTCTCCGAAGAATGTTTTATGGTTTTCAACGTAGAGGTTGTTACTTCTTTGGTTAAATTTATTACTAACTACTTTGTGAATTTTGACATTATATTAAGTGAAACTTTAAAAATTTTACTTTCAATTATTTATTGTTAGTATACAGAAATTCAATTGACTTTTGTATATTGACTTGATATCCTGTGACTGTATAACACTTATAAATTCTAATAATAGTGCTGAATATGCCTTATGATTTTCTATGTAATTATGAATTCTGCAAGTTAGGATATTTTTACATGTTTTCTGATCTTTATTTATTTATTTATATTTGTCTTATTGCACTGGCTAGGACCTTCAGTACAATGTTTAATAGAAGTGGTGAGAGTGGGCATCCGTGCCTTGTTCCCAATCACAGAAGAAAAGCATTCATTGTTTCACCACTAAGTATGATGATAGCTGTAGATTTATTTTTTGTAGATGCTTACGGGGGGTTCAAGGGATTTGGGGACTGATCAAAAAAAAATGGTATCACCACAAGAGGCAGTAACATATATCAAGCTTTATTGGGTGGCACTTGGACAGAGTGGAATGAAAGGGGACATCATGTACAGCATGAGACCTACCAGAGGCTTATGGTGAGAGGGTCATCTGCAGAAGGAGGGCAGAACTCCTGGGAGAGAGGGGAATCAGAGTGAGGTGTCTTGGTGATGTCGCTCAGCAGTATAGCAGGGAGTCTCTGTTAGAGACCTCTGAAGGGCAGCAGTCGCTTGGAGCTTATAACTTCAAGGCTCTATTTTTAGCAATGGGTAACAGCTGCAGGGTGAGGTTTCATGGAGTATGTAAAGCAGCAGGGTCTAAATGGCTAAAAATACACTTGTTTGGGCATTTAAAAATAATCGGATCTGTAAAAATTTGAGTTTGATGCCAGCAGACTTTTGAGCTAATGGATCTCAGCTTGCGTAGAAGAAATAAACAATCTAGAGACCAACGCACAGAGGCCACCTTTGGCTCATTTATATTAACAGTGCCCTTTATCAGTTTGAGAATGTTCTTCTCTTTTCCTGTTTCCTGAGAGTTTGTATCATGAATGGATCTTGAATTATGTCAAATACGTTTTTCTGCACCTATTGAAATGAGTCCTTAAATTGGAATGGAACAAAGTGAATTACATTGATTGAGTTTTGATTATTAAAACAATCTTTCATTTTTGGATAAACTCAACTTGGTCATGAAGTAGCATCTGTTTTATGCATTACTGGCTTTGATTCACTAATACACTAATTTGCTTTTATTGTAATCCTTGTTGTGATTACAGTCACGCTGGGCTCATAAAACAAGTTGAGAAGTATCTCCTCCCCTATTTTCTTTTCTTTTTTTTTTTAAGTGGCTCAAAACAAGACAAATTTATTCTCTTGCATGTCTGGAGGTTAGAATTCTAAAATCAAGCTGTTGACAGCCTTCTGAAAGCTTCAGGGGAGAATCTGTTTCTCTACCTTTTCTAGCTTCTAGAGGCAGTGGCCAGTGTTTTGGAAATTGTTGTTACATACATTTTATCAGGTGATTTAGTTGTTTTTGTGGGCGTGTAAGTCTAGTTCCTGATGTTCCATATTACTTGCGAGTGGAAGTACACTGTTACAATCGCAAGTTGCCCCATCACACTGACTTAGGCATTATCATTGAACATACCATGTAATGTCATTGAACACATCACGCATTGTAATGTAATGCCGATACACTATTATTGTGTATATTTGTCCTGTAGCTCATTGCCCCTGAACATTCCCCACCGATAGACAATGGGGATTGGTCCAACAAGGAAGTGGAGATGAAGAGAGACAGCGGGAATACAGAGAGAAGATACCACCTTCCAAATGTCTCATGGCGTCTCTCTGGAGCCTGGTACATTGTCAGCACTCAATTATTTGTCAGATAGTTGCATGAATGCATGTAGGTTTACACACATGCGTGCGTGCATTAATAAATGAACAAATGCCTATGGCTGGACGGTGTCTTTCCTCCTCTGCTAGTTCTCCATTATGCAGACCAGACACCCAAATCTTCAGAACCCCCCTCCTGGGACACAGCTCTCATTAGTGGAGGACTGCTCCAGGGCCTTCCTGTCGGGAAGAAACCTCTGCCTTCTGGGAGGCAGCACGCCGTCCCACACACTGTCCCCGGCCTTGTTTCAGATCATTTCCTCACTCCTCAATTCCTTCCTCACTGCGTTGCTATTTTTAGCCTGATGCTCACCTGATGCCCCTCATTCTTTCACATTTTTAGAAGTGGATTCCTCTTTTAATTTCTTCACCATAACCTTGGTGACCCCTAGATTTCAGGATGTGAACACCCCTTTTAATTAGCACGTGAATTTTTAGGGTATCAGAATCCTGCCCTATCTTTTCTATTTGCAAAAAGCATCCAATATTTCTCTTAACAATAATCTCTACTCTATTATTACCTAGCCCCAGGGCTGTTGCTGACTAGACAAGGGGAATTTGGTAGAGCTATGTCATTTTTGAAATTAGTGAACAGAATCGAATACTTTTATATGTCATCGCTAAAATGTGTTCAAAGAAAACAGTAACAAATAAACAACCCAGTAGTTTTGAAATGTTTCCCAATGTAAGACTTTTTATTCTGGTTTCGTGCTCAATTAGAGGTACCTACAACAGACTATAGACAAAAATAATTAGGAAGGGCTCAATAAAAATGTCCAGAAAACAATAAAATAGGGAATGTTCAGTCTTGTAGACCTCAGACAAATTATCAAGTCTTAATTTCAGTCCTAACATTGAGTACAGAATCCCTAATTCAGTGGGATGAGCAATTTAAAAGAAGACTGCAGGCTTGGATCCTAACTATACTAACTTCTAAAAAATTTGAAAATCATATGATAGTAATCTGTCAGGCTAAAACTTCTGGGTGTGAAGAGTCTACCAGAAGATTGAATACAGTTTTGTGAGGATAGGGGCAAAAATAGGATAAACAACAGTCAGGAAACGCCAGAACCAGTATGCTCAAACAGGTAGGAGAGCCAGGTAGGGATGACAGGGGAGATGAACCTTTGCTACAAACAGGGCAGGCTCAGGTGGCATGAAGGATGGCCTTACCTCAGCAGGGCAGGTAGTTCCACAGTGTCAAGGGCTGAGGTCTGGGCAGCCCTGGAGGAATGCTGGCTCTCTCAAACATAGCTGCCACTAGACTAAGGCTTCTCAGCGACGGTCCTCAGCCCTTTGCTGCCATGAGTGGCTTGATGAGGACAGGGAGAGGCTGCTTGAGGAGGAGGTGCAGCAGCGATGGCATGGTGGGCTGAGGCCCAGGTCCCCAGCCAAGGGTGGTTTTCTGGGGAAGTGGAGGTCAGCATTACTTAAGGGTGTTAGGGTTTTTGCTGTACTGGGACCTAAACTGGCCCCCTAAACTGGGGGATGATCTCATGTGCACTATTCCTGAAAGAGATTTCAGGGTGTTTTGGAGATAAACGATGCCGCCTCCCCCTTGGGCTTGGGGTGTGTCTTGGGGTAGGACTTGTGGGACCTGGTGCCATGGGACGAGCTGTCTGAGTCTGAGGACACCATCTCCTGGAGAGGCGGCTTCTTGGCAGGTCTCTTTTTCTTCCTTCTGGGGTTCTCCTGTCTCTGTTCTCCTGAATCCCCAGTGTCAACTTCCTTCAGTGGCCAGGGCAGGAGAGTAGAGTTCTTCATCGTCTCATTCTCTCTAGAGAAAGAGAGAGAGAGATCAGGGTTACCCTGGTCTTGATCACTGCTGTGTCTACGAGCCAGCCCCACGCATTTCACAGCTCTCTGTCCACATCCTTCTTCCCATGGAAAGGAGGCTCAGGAGTCCTGTGGGCCCGATGTTCTAGGCTGAGCTTAATTCCACTCAGGTCATCCTCACAGGCCTTTGGTGTCTGGAGCCTCACATGGCATGGAGAACCTAACTGTTCGGACCCTGTCCTGACCACGTCAGTGAAGGGACAACTTACAGCCCAGAAGCCCCTGGGAATGTCCCAGCATGGACCCCTGCCCACCCCAAGGGCTTCCGCTTGGCCCCCTCACAGTCCAGTTCATCCCTGAACCAGAGTTTGTATTAATACTTTAGAGACATTCATCCACATCCCCAGATTTCTCTAATGACTTCCAGGTGTACTATCAGAAACATTTCCCATACATCAAAAATGATACAATTTGTATTTACATTTAATTGAAAAAACTTAGGTATGACTACGAAGTCATAGAACTGGATTACTATGTAGAAAATGCATTGCACAAAGCTTATTTATCAGAAATGTTGTCCTTCAAAGAAGGCATCTTGGGAACACATGACCTAATTCCAGCCAGGGAACCGTGGCTCAGTGTTTTGGGAACACACTTTTTCTGGGCCTTCAGGGTAAGTTAAGGACATCAACTGCCTGGTGTTAAACCTTATTTTGTTCCCATAATCAGTACTGACTACTTTGATCACCCTGCCTTTGCTACAAATAACTTTTTGTTTTGTTTTGTGTTTTTTTGTTTTTACTCTAAATAACTTCTCACCATTGCTGCTTCAGATTCTTCTAGAAATTGTGAGGAAACAAATAATAAACTGGAAAAAGATTTTTAGTTATTTCCAAATAAAGAATGCCATCATTCAAATCCCTCATCAAAAGATCAAGATTCACCACACATGATCATTTTCAAAGACTGGCTCCAAGACTCAGGACAGAATTCCCAAGAAAGATTAAAAAATTGGCCCAAGCAATAGCAGTAACATTAGGAAAAGGCTTTCTGGGAAGCCGTATGAGGCCAGCGCTTGTATGGCTGTGTCAGTTCTGTGATACCAGGATCTTAGAGACATCCTGAAATCACACTTCAAGGTTGTAGTCCCCACCCCTGCTCTGTGAAATCTAAGTAAAGCCTTATCCATCACATTACCCTCAGCTATCCCTGAGATTGCTGCCTCCCTCCAGAGCAGACTAAGTTGACACATCCTATTTCCTTTTCACAGGTTTTCTCTACTTCCCATGCAGTAGGATTGATTGAACTCCAGTCTCTAGCCTGTAACCTCTCAGAAAGAAGATGAACAGGAAGGGACAGTGGGAAGTAGAGAGTTTTCAGGCATACTACAAGAACCAGAGAGTAGGTAGAAGAGGAGCCTCCCTACCTGTGGGAAGAAGACCCTGGAAGGAACAGGAAGAAGAAGAGCAAGAGAGACCACAAAGCCCTCAGTAGGGCATTGGTCACATAGCTATAGACCACCTGAATAATGGAATTCTAGGCTGGCAATAACGAAACAAGAGGTGGTGGTGTCACTGAAAGTCACAAACAATATAGTAAGTGAAAAAAAAGTTACAAAATAGAATGCATATTATATTTTCATTTTTGTTATGAAGGTTGTGGAAATCTTTGTGTCACACTGTTTACAGTCGTCCCTGGGAAACAGATTCCAGCCAAACTGTCATGCTAAAAAAAAATTTTTTTGCAACTGTTATATATAATAAGGAGAAACAATAAAGCTTTTTATTTTGAGGAAAAATAAGAATCAACACAGCAAGGAAACCACTCTAGAAGGATATATACCAAAATATAAATAATGATTCCTTTTGAAATGTGGGACTATGAATGGTTTTTGTATTTTTTTGGCTTTTTATTTATAAATTATGTTAACTATACATTGCTTATGGATGAAGAATAGAACAATGTAGGTTTTCATGATTAGAACAAAAGCAGGCAGGGGTTTTTTGTTTTTGTTTTGTTTTTTGAGACAGAGTCTCACTGTGTTGCCTGGGCTAGAGTGCCGTGGCATCAGCCTAGCTCACGGCAACCTCAAACTCCTGGGCTCAAGCAATCCTTCTGCCTCAGCCTCCCGAGTAGCTGGGACTACAGGCATGCACCACCATGCCTGGCTAATTTTTTCTACGTATTTTTAGTTGTCTGATTAATTTCTTTCTATTTTTAGTAGAGACGGGGTCTTGCTCTTGCTCAGGCTGATCTCAAACTCCTGAGGGGTTTTGATTAAGGACAAGGCTTTACATGAAGCATGCAGATATTGCTCCATTACTGTATTTCACTCTCCGGAATGACCAGTGTTGACCAAGTTCACGACATTTCACAAGGGAATATCCCTTTATTCGGGGGTGAGGGAGGAGCAGGGTAGGTGTACACCTGATGTGAGAGCTTCCCTCCCAGGGTAGGGTAGGGCGCCATGGCCCTGACCTCCGGCCAGCCACGTTCTCCACTAGCACACCTGGAAGGGACCCACTAAATGGCTTTCTTTTGCCCAACCTCATACCAAAACACAGTTAAACTGGATGCCCTATTAATTATTTTAGGCTGCAGAATTGGTTGAATAATTTGATGTACATACGATAATTATGTGTGCGTGTTTGGGCGGGGACAGGTACTGTGGCTTCACTGACTTTTCAGAAGAGGCTGGTTCCACTTCTGGGAAGAAAGTACTGAGCACCCACTCCATGCTCTCTCCAGGGTCCAAACCCACCTTGTCCACGCAATCAAGCACTGGCAGCTCGCCAGTGTTCCTGCTGCTTTCACGAGGCCTCATTTCTATTCTGTACCAAGGGTCTCTCTGCCAGCAAGGCTGCCTTAGAACACAAAGAACAGAAGGACCTATGGGGCAGGCACCGAACAGATGTCTGGTGAGGACCAGGAGGCCTCTGAGTTTTACTAATTGGAGGGGCAAAAAATAAAGAGACCGATGAGAAAAAGCCGTTGCCACTAGAATTGCTACCACTGGCCCCAAGCATTGGTGACTCTCTATGATTCCTTGTGTTCCCCTGTCCCAAGCTCGGGGCACCACAACAGCTTTTTGAAAGCCGGCAATGGCATTTGTCCTTCTGGCTAATATAGGACACTCACGGACAGGGTTTATTGCTGAACTGCTTGTTTTTCAGAGCTCTGCTCCAGCATAGGAAATGGGGCTCCTGATCTGACTGGAGTGAGCTAATGATACACAGGGGCTTAACGATTGTACAGGCACAGCTCCCTCTAAGGGAACAGTCGTCAGGAGTGACCAGGTGAGATTAAGTGAAGCAATTCATCTAACGTCCTGTCAGAGGCAGTGCTGAATCTTGAAGCTTCCCTCAATGACTTAATTTTACCGCTGTCGGGAGGACAATGTTAGGTCACAACACTGCACAGAGTAAAGGGAGGAGTGTTAAACAACATGGACATTATTGTTGCCCTTGGGACAGACTCCCAACTCCAAATGGCTTCATGGAAAGTTATCAAACTGCTCAAAAGAGAGAGAATGAGAGGCTAATTTTTATTGTAATAGCAATTGGGGAGTTGACCACAGACCCAGATAAACCACACCTGAGCCCTGGGAGGGTCTCCCCTCCTGTACGCACATTCCCAAGACCACACAATGGCAATCAGGCAGCCATAGAAGAACATTCCTTGCCTTCAGGTGCCTGGTGATTTCTCTGGAGCACAGAGAATATGATTAGTCCTCTATGGCTTTCCTGAGACCACATTTGGAATGCTATTAATTTTTTTTAAGAAATCACACTCCCTGTAAAGAGTCTTTTTAAGGAGGAGCCTTGACAGTAACTCACCCAAGCCTTGTTCTGTCAGGAATGAAGGGAGGGAGGATTCCATCCCTGCTGGGAGGGATTTCTAGCCAGTTGCGAGGCACCAGATGTATGAATTCAGGCCAGGCCTGCCAGAGGCCCCAGCCTGTGGGTGGCTGAGCAACATCTGGGAGAGGCACTTGTCTCCACAGGAGAAAACCAGAAGCCAGAGCATCCACCCACCCAGGTTCCTTCCCCTGCAGTGGCTAGAGGCCATAGTCTCTGATGTGAACAGGACCGCAGGGAGGCAGCCAGGGAAGAACTTGGTCTGTGAGTCCCCTGCCCTACTGAGGAGAGAGGATGCCAAATGGGGGAAGATTCCCCGTTTCACTTGCTCCTTGGAGTTATTGAGAAGATCACATGGAAGAAACCACATCTGTGTTCTCTAAATGAAGAAACACAGAGGCAGGTTAAGGAACAGTCTCACTCAGCAGAGATATTCCCAATGCCATGGAATGTAGAAAGAAAGCTCAGGGACGCTACTGCAGGGAAGGGAAGGGAAGAGCAATCATTTCCCTCCATTGGACACATATACACTCTTAGAAGACACACCTCTCAGCTGTGGGGTCAGAGCATGTAATCGTGCTGCAAAGAAAGAGAAAACTGGTACCGGCCACACCCGTTTCACATTGCAAATATGGTGATACCAAAATTCTCTCCTTTAAGAACCAGTCATTTGGAATTTAGCAATATGGATAACATATTTTGCAAGCCAACTCTGTTAAAAGAAGTCTTCAAGAATCATTTAGGTGTCAAATTTTGAGTTGAAAATGAAAATTGGCCTTGACTTTAGCCATGTTTGATCAATTTTGAACCCTTCACCTTTCAAACCCTTTCCTTCCTGTCTTTCACTGTGCACCACCTTCAGTTAGGAGCCAGGAGAGGGACCTGCAGGAAATTCTCTCAGTCACCCACAACCAAAGGCCCAGGAAGGAAGAGGAGGAGGAGGGCCAAGGATGGAGCTGGCCACAGCATCCTGGTACACCCAGCTTCTTGGACCAGGTATCCTTTGTCTTACCCCCAAATAGATGGTTATAGTGGATTCAATATTTTAAAATTAAATTTAGTCAAATAATGTCCTGTTGGATATGTAACCTACAGTACATTTCTTTAATAGCCCATGAAGAAAGCACTAGTTTTTTTAATAGCCTCATTTGGTATAATGGTGCAAGGACTCACTAAGGAACAACCAAAGGGAGGCACATCTGTCTATAGAGTGAGTGAGAAAGCGCTCCCGAGGAAAGGACCTACTAGAAGGAAATCCCAGTGTAGATACAAAATAAGACCTACACCTTTATTTTTGTGCTCAGTTCTGCTAGCTCTGATTTTAGAAACAGAGATAGGTTAACTTAGTGGATTGAATGTGACCTCTGCTTGGGAGGATTATACTCAGTCTCTCACTCCTGGAGAGGCAGCTAGAGCAAAACACAGTGGAAATTACAATGGCGGACTAGGGAGTCAATGAATACTTCCACTGTGTAAAGCCCTAGAAGCAAGAGTAGATAATTAGCAGCTAAGAGCTTTAAATAAGGCCTGGCGAAGTTGTGGAACAATTAAAGGTTTTTATCAACATAGAAATAATTGCATTTTAATTCTAGAATAGTGATTGATAACTGTTGAACTTAGTGAAAATGGGCAATACCTAGACATACTACTCATATTCTTTTATGTACTGTAATTTGGATATAATAGGAATCAGGAGAAAGACCCGCAGGGACCATTTTTTGAGTAGAATTTTGAGATTAATTTTGAGACAGATTAATATGCTTTTATTTTAAATGAAATATCATACTCATTTGGATAAAGAATGAAGGATTATAGCATGTATTTCAATAATCATGTCTAAGGAAAGATTCTCCATGGAGCTATGTACCCCTCAAGGAGCACTGCTGGGAAAACACTAGAATGTGTGTGTTTGTTCATTGGTTCATTCTTCAAATAGTCATTGGGCACATCCTGTGAGCTGGACCCTGGCCACTGGGATGCAGAGGCAGATGGAACCTAGTCTCTACCTTTAAGGACTTGTGCCTACACAGTCCAACTGCAAAGGACATTTTCTTTAATAAAAACCTCTATAGGATGCAGGGGGACCTCTGGGACATTGCCTAGTGGTGATGATGCTTGAGTTCAATCTTGGAGTTCCTCAGGTGGCCAAGGACAAGGAACAGCATTCTAGGGACGGAATACTTTATCTGTGCAAAGGCACAGAGACCTGAAATAGCATGGTGTGGGGAAAAGCCTACAAGTCTTTTCGTGTGGTCAGTGTGCAGAGGGCATTGGCATGTTGGTTGGGGGTTGGCGAGGGACAAGTGAGGCCGGCCTGGGTCAGATCAACAGGGGGCTGAGCTGGGATAAGAAGGGGCTGGGGGTGGGGGACACTGAAGGATTTTTAAGTGGGGGAGGGGCAAGAGCAGATTTGCAGGTGAGGAAACGTACTCTGCTCAGCCCTTGTGGAGAATGGCTAGGACTATGGCAGGAGGAGGCTGGAGGAAATGTGAGTTCTTGCAAGTTAGGGTCACTGTAACATGGAGACACATGGAGTGTGGTGCGTGAAAGACAAGGGGTGCAAAAAATGATTACCAGATTTCTGACTGGACAACTCTGTGACTAGGGGTTGGAAGGGTGAACTGAGATGGCGAAGGCTGAGATGGGAACAGGTTTGTGGGAAACTGATTTCAGTTTTAAATGTGTCAAATTTGAGATTCTGTACACTCAGGTAGAAATATCCAGTGGGTGGTTGGAAATAATGCTATTCCTGTCATGCACTGAACACCTGCTTTGTGCCAGGCAATGACCATTCCTGATCCTTACACCACCCTAATCTTGCAGATGAAAGGACAAGCTCATAGAATAGCAACCTGCCCAGAGGCACAAAACTAAGGGAGGGATGTGAACCCAAGCTTTAGTTTCCAGTGTCCCTTCCCATCGTTATCCACCATGGCTGCACAATCAACCAGCTGGGGGCTTTCAAAAGACCCACCGCAGGTCTCACTCTCAGAGTCGGTCTGTGGTGGTGGCTGACAGTGTCCAGTACGACTGTGAGAGTAAGCCCAGTCAGTGTGGACAGAGTTCATTGGTTTAGGCATGTGAGGGGTCCTGAGTGGCTTCTGTGGCAAGAGTCTAAGCAGAAGGTTGTGGTGGAAGCCAATACCCAAGGCTGGGGGAGTGAACAGGCGGCAGGAGAGTGGAGACTGCACGTGGAGATCGGCAGTGAAGGGAAGGGAGCATGCTGGGTCATGCTGCAGAAGCAAGGGAGGTTTGTGTGCTTTGGAGTGGGTGCATGCACTTGCATGTGTGTGCATGGGCATCAATAGGGCAGGCAAACCTAGGTTTTTGCTGAGGTGAAGGACTCAATGAAGAAGAGCTAAGGAGATAGGAGAGAAGAATCCAGGGATAATTGATGGTGTAAGGACCTGAGGTAGTGAAGGACAGGTAGTGGACCAATCAGCCTTGGATGGAAGGAGGGACACTCACACTTTGACATCAGGGGGAAGATAGAGAGTTCCATAAGTCCAGAGGTGCAGGATAAGAAGTTGAGGGAGAGAATATCTGATGGTTTCTGTTTTGAAGTAGAAGGTAAGGCCATTGGGAGAATGCAGGTTAACACCTGAAGACAGCCCGCAAACTCTAAGTGAAATTGGAGGAGGCTTTCTGGGCCCTTTTTCCCAAATCTGACTCAAAATCCACCTTCATCTCTTCCTGTGTGCCCTTGACTCCAAGGTCATGGCTCTGCGATTCCAAACTTGATGCCCCTTTTTGGCCCCATGGACTTGAGTTTTTGTTTCCTCTTTAGGCCTCAACTCTTTCCTATTGATTTAGCTTTAATTACCTTTATAGCTCTTAGCAATCCTACTGCCTCAGATGAAAATTTGTTCGCCCCACTGCAGCCCCTGGAAACCACCACCCAGCCAGCCAGCTACCCACTCGCTCGGCTGGCCACAGGCAAGCCGGGACCAGCACCTCACTCCCACCTCCCTACAAGGGGAGACACAGTTAGGTGATTGGCGCCAACTGAGACTAAATTAAAAGGCCTTGAATCTTTACAAATAAAAGGGGAACAATTCCTTCATACTCATGACATATTCACGAATGCTTTTCTGAAGGGTCAGTCAAATAATGTTGGATTTGAGATTAGAAACAGATGAATGAATAAACAGCAGGAACCAGGCTTGATGCGGAAGGGACAATAATCACAGAGGTACATTTTGAGTAGGAAGTCCTCCACCTCTGTTCTTCTCCCGTAGGAGTTAGAGGTCATGGATCTTAACTCAGAAACAAATCCAAGGTACAAAGATATAATTAATATTCCAAGGGTAAAAGTTGAGTACACTTACACATTTGGATCCTCTTGAATTGGGGGTGACTTTATATGAGAGCAAGAGAGAGCATACTTGTTTTGGCTGATCTTAATAAGTGCACTCCGAAGGCAAAATTCCTGTAATAATACCAAAAGAGCTCACTCAATTTAAATCAGAAATGTCCACAATTCGGATATAATTTTATTCTAGCTCAACCCTTTATAATAGCTTCTAGTCACTATCCTATTCAGGGTGACACTTAAGAGAGCAGTTTAAATTCAGAGCCTCACTTGATAGTTATTTGCTGAATAAAAGTCATTGTTGAGTCCTTTCTGTCCTTTCTCCATATTCTGGGTCAATTGCCAAGTCTACCCACATAAGATGCACAAACACATACATATCCCTTTATATAACCACCTTCCTTTCTATCTTTATTTCAGCCTTGACTGTCTCTTTCCTGGACACCACCCTTTTGCTGAATGCCCCACCTTCAGCCTCATTAGATTTCCTGAATTTCCATCAGAACAGCTTCCAATGTCCTTCCCACCGGCCATACCACTCTACCCACTAGAGCTCCCTGCCCTGTGGGTAAATTCCCAGGTCCTTCCCTGGGCTTTGAGGTTTTCCTTTGGGATCCTGGGCCAACTACTTTATCTCTTCCTGCACCCTGGGGCATGCCGGGTGGGGGAGAGGAAACACATCTCAACATACCCCTTGGTTTACTCCCTCCTTCCTTGCATAGTAGATATCCTTAGCAGTGCCACATGCCAGGAATGCTTCTCCAAGTTCTGCCCCTCAGACTGCTTCTCTACCGTCATCAGGAAACTCCATTTTCTCTAAGGGGCTTTCCTGGGTTGATGAGAAGACACCTCTTTCTCCTTGTGTTCTGTTGGGTTGGACTTGATGCTCCTGTGGCCACTGGCTCTGATGGTCTTCCCCTTTGCCCTTAACCCTAAATTTCTTTTACCACGCCCCTCTCCCCAGTGGAACTACCTCATACCACAGTCAAGGATTTACTGTATATTTTTATTCTGTATACTAGGCAGAAGGGCACAGTGGTTTAGAGTGCAGGCCACAGATCCAGATTATCTGGGTTCAAATGCCTGCTCAACTGCTTACCAGGGGTGTGACTTCACCTCTCTGCTTCAATTTCCTCATATGAATATGAAGATAATAACAGTCCCTGCCTCACGGTGTTCTGAGGAGTCAACTGTTCACTATGTGTAAAGTGCTTGGATTAGTACCTGCTGCACATGATAAAGGCTTAATAAAGTTAGTCACTGTGACTTTTCTTTTTGCTTACCAATCTGTGCTGCTTGCCAGTCTGTTTCCCAGGCATGTTAATTGGTCCATCAAGACAATGTCATTTTCCATTAGAAATGTCATTCATTCAGGTAATTTAAAAAACAATTGTGAGACCCTTCTCTTCATCAGCCTGTGCTGGGGTTGGGGATGGGTCCTGCCTTTAAGGATTGGGAGACTGGTGAGGGAGTGAGCAGTGTAGCCAGTGGGAGAACCGAGGGGCCCAGTGGGAAGTCACAGTCAGGCAGAGTCTTCAGGGTGACAGGAGCTTCCAATGGAAAGGACATGGGGAGGGAAGTCCAGGAAGAGGGAAAAGCCTATTGTGTTAGGGAAGCAGGGAGCCTTCCACTTGGCTGGAAGCCACACTCATGGAGCAGGCTGGGGCCACGCCCGGGCCATGCTGGGATTCTCCTGGAGGGTGACAAGAAGTATGTGTGTGTGTGTGTGTGTGTGTGTGTGTGTGTCAGGTGGGGGGGACATCAAGCAGGCAAATGACATAATCGGATTTGTAAACTGATAGAGAATTTTTCTAAAACTTTTAGAAAAAATACACAGAGAAATATATAATTGAGGGAGGATTTCTTAAACAAAACACAGAAAGGGCAATTCATAAAGGAGAAGATGGGTAAATTTGACCATATTAAAATTTAAAGCTTCTATGTCAACAAAGATTTCAAAATTAGAAGATAAGCAACAGACCAGGAAAAGAATATTAGCTGCATATTTAACAAGAATTACTATCCAGAAGACATAGAAGACCTCATATCAATAAAAAAGATAAATGACCCAGTAGAAAATATAGATGCTTGAGAAACGTCTGTCCAATGAGTGACTCAATCTAGAGGTGACAGAGTTAACTGGATTGCTCTCACCCATTGGCCATGGGGAGTGCAGAAGGAAAAGATTCAATCCAGGAGTGATGTTACTAACTGTTGCAGCCACAGCATGTTTTACATATATATTCTTACAGCCTCAAAATCACCCTGCAAGATATAAATATATAGATATAGATATATTAAATACTCATTTCATATGTAATAAAACTGAGGCTCAGAAAGGCAAAGCAAACTGTCCAGGTCAGACAACCAGTGCAGAGCAGAGTGAACGTTCATGAATCCAAATGCAGGTCTTTTTAATGGTCAAGCCTGTGTTCTTTCCACTCTGCTCCACTTCACACCTGTGCCCCCTCTTCTTCCTCAACCCATGCCAACTCTGAAGGTGGTTCCTAGGCAGATATGAGATGAGGAGCCAGGTGGTGGCACCCCCTACTACAGGGACAGCAGGAGGAAGGCACTTGCGGAAAGGTGATGCTCTGACTGTGACACAGTGAGTTTGAGATGCCTGTGCTCACCCAGGGGAGCTCTCCAGGAGGACCCAGCTAGAAACTTGGGGTTGGAGCTCAGGGCAGGGGCAGGGGCTGCCTCCCCTGACACAGAGGAAATATCCAAGGATAGAGGCTCACCCTGAGAGACAGATCTGTGAGGAGGCAGAGGAGGACAGGGTTGGGAGGGGCCCAGGAGATGCCCACATCTGCAAGGCCAGCAGAGGAGCACGAGTCAGGAGGAGGAGGAGGACAGGCAGCAAGAAAGAGCAGAGCTGCAAGACCCCGGAGTGAGCCTGCCCTACTGTCGAAGGTAAAGCACAGATCTGCAAGGAGAGCCAAAGACCGTGCAACTGGAGTTAGGAGGCCATGACGACCTCAGCGGGGGCCGAGTCTGTATGGCCAAGTAGGCGGAACCCAAACCACAGGCAGTGGAGGAGCAGGGAGTAGACACAACAGGGGAAAGTCCTTTCCTCCATGAAAGTCTACTTACTCTCCGGTTGTTACACTTCAAAACTGTGTAGAGTTTTTCTTCGGCCACATTGTGATTCGGAAGTGCTATGACAATGGCAGGGACATAGAAGTCAAATCCTTTGGGTATCACAATTTTGGCAAACACGTAATCTCCAACCTGTAGAGGAGAGCATATTTCATAGCAAATGTTTTGTTTATGGATCACATAGACGATGTTAACATAAACTCGTATTAAAACACCCAAGACAATTGGCAAATACTGATGCTAAAATTCAAATACATATTTTTTCTCGGTTAAGTTCCAAAATTCTCTGGGCTCTTTGAGCCAAGTCTGGAATTTTGTGATCAGAGTGGGGAAGCCCCATTTAGTAGAACCTTAACAACTGATGAGGGTCCAGGGACAGCCAACAAGATGGCAAGGGTTCTGGAAACTATATCCTACACAGACTGGGTGAAGGAACCTGGGGTGTTGGCATGAAAAGATATGAACAGTGTTCTCATCTTTCAGAAAGGCTGTCACCAGACATAGAAAAGGAGCAGATTTGTTTAATGCTGCTCCAAAACACACAGCTGGAATCTGTGGGTAAAAGTTGCAAAGAGATAACTTGCGGCAGAAGGAGAACCTTGTGAAGGGGCACACAAAGGCTGCTGGGCCTTTGTGGATCATCAGGGGACAAGTGCACTGCTGTGCACCATGGGTCTGGCCAGGAAGCAGCAACGGATGACCAAGGCTCAATCCTGTGAGGCCTCCTCTGGTGTTTCTCCTCCTGGCTCATGCTGTGCAAGGAACAGCAGCAGTGGCGCCTTGGGAGGCTTTCCTCTGCTCCCTGGCCTTAGTGCCAGCATTAGGATCGTGGCAGGAGGATGGGCCAGACACAGCACAGCTTTTATGAATTTATGAGCAGATGAGAACACATTAATCTACCTTATCTGTGGAATGCATGTTTGGGGTAACTGCATCATGGTATCACAATCTAACATCAACTGACTGCAATATCAAGGGAAGTACTACCTCTGTCTGCCCTTGTTATTAAATATAATATAATATAATATAATATAATATAATATAATATAATATAATATATCTTTTGCAATTAAAGTGTCAAGAGCACTAGCAGCTACAGCAACATCCATCCCCCAATCATCTACGGTCTTGTAGCAGGACAAGGGCCTCAGGGTGCAACATCAGGAAGTCTGTAGAGCTGTGAGATACATAATAGGGAGTTGGCAGATCAGGGCCATGAGTGAGGAAACTGCCAGGTGATGGGTTGCAGGAACAGGGGCCACTGTTCTTCCTGCCCAAACATAAGCTCCCTGCAGGAGTGCGCCCAGTTCAGCAAATGGCCAAGCAGTGGCCTTGCCATCATCCCCTGTCATCCAAAACTCTGTGGATGGTGAAAAGGGGCCCTGGAACAGATCATGGAACAGGTACCTGGAGCAGCGGGCAGGGCATGGCGCCCCCCACAGGCATGATGAATGAGGTGGACACGACCTTGGTGTCTCCGTACCTGAAGCCCACCAGTGCTTGAGTGGAGCTCACACACTTCTTCACAACCCCTGGAGGGAACCAAAGAAAAACAAAATATAAAGACAAATATCGTCTGTTTCCTTAGGCTTACCCCATGGTGTCGGCCACACTGAGTTCTAACACTTTGCCTGTTTAGATCAGTGTGCTCCTTGATTTCTCCAGCAGATAATGTTGGACATAGTATGAAGCCTCCTGTGTTGAACAACTCAAAGCGTGGTCTGGAGCACCTACTGAGACAGGAAGCCAAAAGCAGCTTATTCATCCAGCATCACCAGCATCCGTCCTGATGGGAACACTGTTCCTAGAAACAAAGGTCCTCTTCCTGGACACCTCCTACCATCTGATTTCCTTATTTATTTTGGTTCTATTTCCTTCCATAACACTCAAAGATAGAAAATAGATGGTGTTAAATTGTGAAAGTAAAAAGGAAATATGAACTCCCATCCAAATCAGCTTTTCATCTAATGTTAGCTAAATGAAAAAGTAACTAGGTTGAGCACACCCGACAGTTTCCTTAAAATGTACAGCCAAAAAGGAAAAAAGAAAAGTTTCTTAGTCTTTTAGTTATACTTAAGGAGTATATGATATGTATATATTCTATATCATATTACAATATAATCCTATATTACAATGCTATATAATTATTATAGGAAAAGAAAATACCTGTGTTCAGATTCATTTTTCTTGGTCATTTATTGACTTGAAATTTATTTTCCCATCAAAAAGGGATTCTAAACATTAATGGGGAAATTCTGACATTGGACACCTCCCCTGGCCATAACAGCTGCTCACAGACTCCCACTCAGAGACAGAAACGTGTTCATGTGTCCCCATTGGGCTCCACCGTCTGTGTGCCTGGCATGCCTGCCCTGGCTCTCACACTAGCTTTGGCAAAGTCCCATGTCCTTTTACATGGCAAGAAACAGCTGTTGATTTTCATTGTGATCCATGTCTCTTGTTTTAAATGAGCAAAGAAATGAAAATCATTTTTTTTAAACACACACACACACACAAAAGCCAACTTTCCATTGTGTGTTTTCTTTTTGGACTAAAATGTTTAATTTGGTTTTTGACATATTATTTATTTATTTTTTTTGAGACAGAGTCTCACTGTGTTGCCTGGGCTAGAGTGCCGTGGCGTCATCCTAGCTCACAGCAACCTCAAACTCCTGGGCTCAAGCGATCCTCCTGCCTCAGCCTCCCAAGTAGCTGGGACTACAGGCATGCGCCACCATGCCCGGCTAATTTTTTCTATGTATTTTTAGTTGTGCAATTAATTTCTTTCTAATTTTAGTAGAGACGGGGTCTTGCTCTTGCTCAGGCTGGTTTCGAACTCCTGAGCTCAAACAATCCACCCACCTTGGCCTCCCAGAGAGCTAGGATTACAGGCGTGAGCCACCGTGCCCGGCCCAAGTTTCTGACATATTCTTTACACATTATTCATACCTTTCTGCCATAAGCTGACTTTACTCTTTTAATCAGAAAAACAACAGTTTTTAGAAAGAATTTCTATTATGAAAATAATTAAGCGCCAACCCTAATTGAGAATGAGTGGATGTATCACATTCCACACACCTGTGTGCCCCACCCCCTCCCATGGCTCAGGGGGAAGGGTCTGGGCTGTCACCATGGCCACATTGCCCAGGTGACTTTCCTCAAATTCTTAGCCTTCAGGACTTAGCTGCATCTAGTGTGAGACCTGCTAGGCTGTCTTTCAGTGTTTGCCTAAGTTGAGAAGTCGTGACAGAGACTGGGTGGCCCACAAAGTCTAAACCATTTACTTTCTTTTACAGAAAAAAACCTGCCAATCCCTGCACTAAATTACTGGGCCAAGACTTTCTAGTATGTTATAATTTCTTTTTAGTTCCTTCAGTTCTGTTCCCTTCTTTGTACAGTCTCTGTAGATGTGGGTCTTTGTTCCTCTCCAGAAAGTAGTGTCGTTTCTTACAGTCTACACACCCAGCTGGGTCTCCCCACAGCTGGTACTCGGGAGACGGAGGACCCACAGCTGGCAAGCTCAGTTACTGCTAAGGCTCTGTACTTGTTCCTTCTCATCTAATTAAGGAAATATTACCATTTCTTATGTCCCGATTCAAGATCAGCTCCAATTTTTGGCATCACTCACACTGCAGTTTCTGACTTCCCTCAGTTCCAGAGAGGTGAGGCGGTGTCTCCTGACTCTGAAATCTCTCTGGCAATTGTTTTGGGACCTGAGCTCTGGAGAGTGGACAAGCAGTAGGGCCTCCACTGCTTTCCATCTTTCTCTTGGTGGAGGCTGGCAATCCCAAGCTCCTTCCTGGGGATGAGTCAGCTCCATACCTTGGCCAGAGGGCTCTCCTACATGCAGCTGGAGAAAGGGGGGCACACTGCTGTGGAGACCCTCAGCAAAAATGTTGCCAAGTGTGTTGCTCCATGAATTAATATAAATATATTGGAGACAGAAATGTCTCAGGAGTTTTGCAGAGCTTTGCCCTGAAGGAATATGTGAACGTGTTGGTTTGAATTTCAAATGCTGTTGCACTCGGGAGGGCGTCTCTGAAAGACAGTAGCAGCTGTATCCCACATGGCGTGGCGTTTCTCAGACGTAAAGGTTTGGATTTGCTTTGTAAAGCAAAGCAAATCTGTTAAAAACTACAGGATTAGAGCTGATGAAAGAGCGCCCGCCCCGAACAAACAGCCACAGACAGCTACCCTGGCTATAAGCAGTTAAGGGGCAGTTCCTGCTTAAAACTCCAGACTACCTGTCTCCATTCACAATAACCTGATAAAGAAAATATGGAGCCAATATATCTCTGTTTAACCCCTCTGTTAAGTGATAAATTTACCTTAGAACTTAATCTTTGAAAGATTTTGTAACCATTTGTTCATATAGATAAAATTAGTTAAGGGATCTGTAGAAGCCTTTTGAAAATCTGTTAACCTAAGAGGAACTACCTGCTGTTATGTAAATCTGTTACCCCTGGCAATTAATCACTGTTACCTATAAGTGACCATGTAAGACTTCATTCGCGGCTTTTTGAGACTGATGGAGATCCAGGCACCCTGAGCTCCTGCTTTGCCTATAATCTTTATAAATTTGTAAAACTATACCTTTGTCTCTGTGTATTCTTTTATTTCCATTATTTTCCATTTTTCTATTATTTTCTTATCCCTTGCAACTCTACCAAAGGGACCCGGTTTTTTGCGGGGAGCATTGGCCACGCTCCCTGCACAAATGCTCAGTGGTCAGAGGTCTGACAAAACAGTCTGAGTAGACAGTGTAAGTCAGCTCATTTGGTCAAAGAGACATGAATGGTTCTGGATCTTTTTGCTCCAAACAGATTTTTTCAGGCTGAAGACTGGATTTTTTTTTTCTTTTTTTAACATTTGGCTCTAAGAAGCTTCCAATATTCAAAGCCTGGCTTAAATTCCACCTCCTCAAAAAGGCTCTCCCCTCGCTCTAGCCACAGCACCCCTCTGCCCATCACACCACCATTGCAGAGTTGTCCCACACTCTGGTCATCATGTTCTCTTCTCCCTTCAGACTCCGAGGCTCCCTTTCTAGCCCTCTGTGCTGACTTTTGCCTCTGACTTGCTGTAAAAGGCTCTAAACTGCTGTGCAAGGGAAAGCAGCCCCCTCCCCGCCAGGAGAGGTCGGGAGCTGGTTGTATGTATCTCCTGAGAGGAGCTCACACAGGATGATAGAAAAACTCTTCACATGTAATTAATAAGGTGCTATACATTATCCATTTAATCTATACAACAATCTTATGAGGGTTTAATCATTTCAGATTCCATTTGGAAAGACTGGGAAACGAAGGCACAGAGAAATTAAGTGACTCCAGTCATGTGGCTAGTAGAGAAAAGAGGCAGAATTCAAATAAATGAAAACGTTGGCTTTCCGACCTTAAATCATTGCACCCCAGAACATACTGTTTCAACCCCCTTTTCCTCATTATCACCTGTTCTTATGGCATAGTGCAGAAATCACTGGATTTCCTGAAGAAAAATGCTTCTTCTCACTGAACAGCAGGAAGGATGATCCAATTTCCACAAATAATGATTTAAAATAAGGTTTCAAAATGTGTCTCTCTTCTTGCCTTAGAGCATCCGGGTAAGCCAGGCTATCAGCTTTCACTTCTATTTTGTGCAATGTAGTCATTTCCTCAACTAGATAATCCACACTAACCTTGGGAATAGCGTTGGGCATATGGAAATCCCTGCCTTGGTCCCAAGGGGGTGGCAACAGCCAGTCTGGCCAGCTCTGCTCCGGTGTAGACCTGGCCTTAAGCAATGGACACTTGATCCAGCTACTCCAATCCCGCCTTTCACTGAAGTGCATTTAGGAGGTTTTGAACAACAGTTACCAGAGAAAGAGTTATCAATGAATGGCATGCCTATGCTCTACAAAACTCTATTTGGCCTTCTTTTTTTGCCAGAGGGAAAACAGCACCTCACAGTGACCAGGTGATCTAAATGAACATTACCGATGAGGGCAGATGGACATCACGTGCCTCTAGATGGGCTGCCCCAGAGAAAGACATGACATCACTTAGGTAAGAGTCTGGCTGAGAATGATAACCTGAATCTAATCTAACCCAAATTGAGGCACATTCTATAAAATAACTGGCCTTACTCTTAATGTCAAATCATGAAAGATGATAGAAAGGGTAAAGAATCATTCTAGATTAAAGAAGACTAAAGAGACATGCTAATTAAATGCAATACGTGATTCTGGATTGGGATTTGTACTAGAGAAAATAAATACTATAAAGGCCATTATTGGGACAGTTAAAATATACAGATTAGATAAAAGTACTATAATAATGTTAAATTTTCTGAGTTTTATAACTTCATTGTAGTTATATTAAAATATCATTCTTGTTTTTTAGGAATACACACTGATGTATTACGAAGTAAAGGGGCATAATAAATGTTACCTAATCTCTAATAGTTCAGAAAAAATAATGTGTGTGTAGATATGTGTAAAGGGGGTAGAGAGGGAGAGAGAGAAAAAAATGAATAAAATAAAATAATGTATGTGTTATGTGACAAAATGTTAAAAATTGGCAAATCTGGGGTAAAGAGTATACAGGAGTTCTCTATATTATTCCTTTTGGGTACATTTGAAATTTTTTTAATTAAAAAAACTCCGTGAAAGTAAAGTTGAAATTCTCAACTAAAGAAAGGATTAGTTGACTGGGGGGAGAAGACACAAAACCTAAGTACATTCAGATAATCCACGCCCTGTCATTTAATTTGGCTGAGTCAAAGTTTATTATCTAGACACTAGTCAAAATTGATGATTAAATGACTAAATTCAAATGTTTATTTCCTCCAAACTGACTTAGTTGAATTTAATCACAGTCACAAATTTAAAATCCCTAGTTAGTCAGATCCCACGCAGCTGTTAAAAGGACAGTATGTGCTCTCTGTCTCTAATTGCACATTAAAAACAAATGCTGATGTAGCCGCAGGCATTGCATGTCGTCATGGTATTAGCTCTGTCTCTACTTCTCCAGTAGGTCTTTAGAATTTTCTCGTCACACAGGGATGGTGCTAGGTAAAAGTTCAAGCCATTCTACTTTTCTCCAGGGCCCTAGCCAGCAAACTAATCCCCAGCCCTAACCCAATCATTTGGAACTCAGTCCTTTTTGGCATTTCCATTTCATTGCATATTAGCCATGAACCTCTCCAAGTCTCAAATTCAGAAAATCAGAAATTTCTCAAGCAGGGATGGCCTCCTATATTCACCTCTCAGCAAGTCTGAGCCCCAGAGAAACGGGAGCTTTCAGCCCCTGTTCTTGTGAAGAAGAGTCTCATGACTCGGCCTCTGCGCTCATCTCAAATGCTCAGATCTGTATTTACTCTTGTGCAGCAAACTCCAGAGCACATTTATCAAATTTCAAATAAGATGTTCCAGTTGTCAGTTCTACTTATATGCCTGCTGGAAAGCAAAAATCGTGCTGAAGTACTTTTTTTCCCACCTAAAAAGTCCATTTAAATAATATTAATAATCATTTTTTTAACTGGTGATTGACAGATCATGCAAGGCCAGCTATGTTTCTGCAGTGTAATCCTTTTGTCCCCGACAGAGCTACCTCAAGATTTTCTCCAGTTCTCTTTTCCCTACAAACCCTTCCCGTGATTTCAATGACAACTTTTGTGTTGACTCCCAAATCTGTCTCCACACAGATTTCCTCTCCAGACTCCAGACCCATATCTTACATTGCTTCTCTGTCATCTTCAGTTGTGCATCCCATAGGCACCCTCAATTTATCATGTCACAAACACATCTCATTGTCTTCCCGTCCACACCATCACCTCCTGTATGTACCGCTATCTACCTACTGCCCCAAGCCAGGGACTGGAGTGACAGCCTAACCCACTTCATATACTCTCTTCACACAGCAATGGAAGGGATCTTTTTTAAACTTCAAGTGTGATTATGTTTCTCCCTGTTTAAATGTGGCTCCCCAGCGCTCTCAGAGTAAAGTGCAAATTCCTTGACCCGACCCCTTAAGAATGTCCCCGTACCTACAGAAGAGCGTCATTATTTTTCACCCTTTCTTTGCATTCATGGTTCCAACCTCAATCAACTTTATTTCTCCAGACGTAAAATGTTTTTCCTCAATTCTAGATCTTCACACATATTATTGTCACTATCCAGAAAGCTCCATTCATAGCTGCACCCACAGTACCTGGCTGATTCCTTAAGGGATCACGCCCTCCACAGGAAGCCCTGGGCAAACATCTGAGGCCCAGCGATGCCAGCCACCTTGCTCTGCCTCCAACACACCCTCAGGCCTTCGTGCTGCTGTTTGCTTGCTTAGAACTCTCTTCCCCCAGTCTCATGGCCTTCCCTGCCCTACCTTAAATCCTTATTCATATGTCACCTTCCCCAGGACCTCTTCATTAACCACTGTATTTAGAATTATAACATTCACCCTGACATTCTCAGCCCCCCTTGGGGCTTGATTTTCCTCTATAGCACTGTATCCAAAATCCTACATATTTTTACTTGTTTATTTGTTTGCTTGTTTGTCTCCCTTACTAAGATGTAACCTCCACAAAGACAAGAATTCTCTCCTGTTTGCTCACTATATTAGACCAGCACTTTCAGAATATTACATACATGGAACATAGTAGTGTGTAATAAAAATTTGTTTACTAAAAAAATGAGAGATTAAAATAAATACATTTTTCTGGCTACTTTTTTTTTAGTCCCAAATATGGAAAGACACCTCATTATCATTTCATTTGAGAAGTATAATACCTTAGTCTGGCTCATGAAATGTCAGTGTCTAGGGAAAGAACAAGTTGAAACCTCTAGTCCCCAATATCAAATTATTTAACAAAAGAATCCCACAAAATAAATTAAAAAAAAAAATCTACCTGGAAAATAAAAGCCATTTTCATCACATCTTGCAATAACCTTCTGGCCTTTGAGGGGATCTGGTTTTTTTGATTTGATTTTCTTTGTTGGGTTTCCTTCCAATTTCTGTTGCTAAAAAAGACAAACCAGTAATAATTGATGAGGAAGAAGTCAAAGCAGATAGCGAAACTCACAAGTTGTGGGTATCCTAGAAATTTCTACTGAGAATCATACTATTGAAGAATTACAGAACATACTCATACTATACTTTGGAGTACTTTCTGTTCTATGTTAATTAAAAACCACCCTTTTGGTAAGGAATTTCTGCCCTCCAAAATTTTCATACTTTAGCTCAAGGCAAAAGGAGAATTGCATGACTAATTAAAGAAAAGAGAAATAAGGAAAAATTATAAATAAAACTAGAATTCCTGAAATTCTGCGATAGCCTCAAAGCTGGAGAGCAAAGACTACTTCAGAACCATGAGCAGTGCTGCCACCTTCCTAGAATCGTGCGAGGTAGATGGATCCTTCAACAGAAAAGTCAGTCAGCAATTTAGGAGAGACAAGCATGGAAGCACAACTGTTTACAGAAATACAACATCCCACCCCACCTCTTTAGGACAAAGAAAAACTCTTAAATTCACTGTCTTACAAAGAGGAGAGAAATCTGTAGGCTGAGACAAGCTCATAAATGGATTATCCTTGTTCCTCATATCTCCTGGTTGGCGCAACAGGGATGCTAGGAGGAAGTGGGGCAGTGCTTTCAAAGTTCTGGGGGAAAATGACTTTCAATCCAGAATTCTAAACCCAGGCAAACTATCAATAAAATTTGAAAACAAAATAAAGACATTTATAGTTATCTCTAAGCAGAAAATTTCCCTTCCCATTCATCCAGTCTTCAACTGGCCAGCATATCACCTTGAGGAGGACCTTGAGGAGGGACAAGTACTTCTAAGCTATGACTTGTTCCAGTATTGAACAATATTGATCCAGTCATAAAATGTAAACACTGTTTTGTGTTTTTTTTTTTTAAAGAAAAATTTTAAATGTTTACAGTAAGCCTTTGGAAAGAGCACAACATTAACAACACAATGGTCTCAGTGTAGCTCTTGGAAGGTTGGAATGAAAAGGGAAAGAAAAAGCACTGGCACAGGTATCTCCACCATGTAGTGTCAGGAACTAAAGAAGATTATGAAATGTGATATATAAAGACATGGAGGCTTAGGTGGGGGGGGATGGGTAAATTCACATCTAACAGGTGCGGTGCACTCTGTCTGAGGGATGGGCACACTTGTAGCTCTGACTCAGGTGGTGCAAAGGCAATTTACATGACCAAAGCATTTGTACCCCTGTAATATTCTGGAAAAAAAAAAAAGAAATACAGGCTTAAGTAAATTAAATGAAATGTTACAAATGCAGCCAATAGAACAAAAAATAATACAGATATCCAATATTAGAAGTAGGAGAAGGAGTGATGAGAGTGAAATTATCATATTTTTCATATAGCAAAATAAAAATATTATTTAAATATAATAAATCATAAAATCAAGAAATATATGAAAGAAGCACTTTGATAAAAATCTGAAAATCTCAGAGAGGAAAGAACTGGAAAAGAAAATGCTTTTATTTTTCTATATGATTGAATCAAAGTCCTGGACTCACCCCTGAGGAGCATGTGTGCAGAAAGGACTCAAAACAGCAAAGGCTTTGAGAATTTGTTTTTACTTTCAAAATATTACAGCGGTACAAATGTTTTTGGTTACACGGATCACTTTTGTAATGCTTGAGTCACAACTATAAGTGTGTCTATTACCCAGATAGTGTTCATTGTACTTGTTAGGTGGGTTTTTGCCCATTCTCTTCTCCTCCTTTCCCCTTGCTTGATTTCCACTGAATTTTACTTCCGTCTGTGCACATATGTGCTCATCAGTTAATTCCAGTTTAATAGTGAGTACTCATGGTGTTTGTTTTTCCATTCTTTAGATACTTTGCTTAGCGTAATTGTTTCTAATTACATCCAAATTGTTGCAAAAGTCATGAATTCATCCTTTTTTATGGCTGAGTAGTATTCCATGATATACATATACCACATTTTGTTAATCTACTCATGAATTGATGGGCACTTGGGTTGATTCCACATCTTTGCAATTGTGAATTGTGCTGTAATAAACATTTGAGTGCAGGTGTATTTTTGATAAAATGACTTCCTTTCCAGTAGTGGGATTCCTGGATCAAATGGTAGGTCTACTTTTAGTTCTTTGAGGAATCTCCATACTGTTTTCCACAGAGGATGTACTAATTTGCAGTCCCACCAACAGTGTATAAGCTTTCCTTTCTCTCTGCATCTATGTAGGCATCTATCATTTTTGGACTTTTTAATAAAAGCCATTCTAACTGGGGTAAGGCGATATCTCATTGTGGTTTTAATTTGCATTTCCCTGATGATTAGTGACATTGAGCATTTTTTCATATGTTTATTGGCTATTAGTCTATCTTCTTTTGAAAAGCTTCTGTTCATTCCTTTGCCCACCTTTTAATGAGGTTGTTTGTGTTTTTTTCTTGCTTATTTACTTGAGTTCTTTGTAGATTCTGGTTATTAGCCCTTTATCAGATGAATAGTTTGTGAATATTTTCTCCCATTCTGTAGATTTTCTATTTGTTCTATTTATTATTTCCTTGGACATGCAGAAGCTTTTTAATTTAATCAAGTCCCATTTATTTATTTTTGTTGTTGCTGTAATTGCCATTGGGGTCTTAGTCATAAATTCTTTGCCTAGGCTGATATCTAGAAGAGGTCTTTGAAATCCTTTCTCTTTCTCCAGCCCTGTGGTCTTCTTATAGTGTGAATTGTATTGGCATGTCCAGTTTAATCTCTAAGGCAGTAGGTGGTACTTGTGGGTAAGAATCAATCACACTCTGTATGGTTGAGTCAATAACTGTTGTAGAGGGCTATGCAAGTTGACCTCCCTGTCAGTAGGTGGCACTTGCTAGATGGATCAAGCTGCAGTGTTGTTTTTGGAAACTGTGACCAGCTCTAGCCCCTCAGGAGAAGCACTCATATGCCCCAGGTGGTTGGTGGGGCCTTGGAATTTCCAGGTGAGTCCTTATTCTCCACCACAGCTGAAGCAGGTAGGGGAGTGAAGCTGGGTGGGGCTGGGATGGGTAAGCCTGTCCTCAGCCTCTACAAAAGCTGATAAAGTAGCTGTTTTGGCAGGAGTCAAAGGTCTGCTCTCAGGCTTCTGGGGAAAGCCACAAGGGAAGGGCTGAAGTAGCCCCACCCAGCCAGAAATCTGCTTGTGGGAGAGGGGCCATCTGAGATTCACAATATGGCTGTCAGGAGCAGGTTTCACTCTTCTCTCCCCTCCCCTCCTCTATGGTCTCCCTCTGGTGTCTGCCAGTAGGCAGTACCTCAAACTAGCTGAGCTCCTCCATGATGGCACTGCAGGCTGGGAGCTTCCCTGTCCAGGATCCTTCCCTAGGCTGAGAGCATGGCCTTCCTGTGGGGAGGGGTGCTCCATGAGTGCACTGTGGCTAGGACCCACACTGCACTCTCTTTTCAGTTCTTCCATGTGGACTCTCTTGCCTCCCGAGGTTAGTTCACAAATCTTCCCTTTATGCCCCTGAGCAACACGACTGAGTCCTGAGGGGTATAGGATCTGGTCTGCGGGCCTGTCCTCAGATCACTGAAGATCAATCCCTGACTGTGCCAGGGAGAAGCGTGCTGGTCCCGAGTTGCCTGTGCGGTGCTCAAAGAGGTTTGATGTCTCTCTGCTTTGGGGTATGTGCCCTGCTCCGATGAAGCAGCTAAGCAAGCAGCACTGGGGAGAGTTGGTAAGCAGGGAGCTCACATCTGCTGCAGGTCTTTAAAAGAAAAGGTTTGAGCCCCACTATCTGTGGAAGCCTTGGGGAGGACAAAGGCACACGGTGAGTGGAGAAATAATATGGTCCCTGCTGTCTCAGCTTGGGTCTGTAGTGGCAAGAAGCAATTCCAAAGGGGCTGGTTGCCTGGTGCTTTGTCCTCGAGAAGCTCCCAGTTCATTGACAGCAGCAGCTTTTGAGCTCACGGGGGTAGAAAGGCTCTCTAGAAGCTCAGGAGCCTGCTGACTGCCAGAGATGTGATGGGGGAGAAACAAACCACCCCACCTACCCTTTTTGGTGAACTCCAAGCCTCTCAGGGCTTGATCTCTGTCAATATCTTGCTCCTTCTTATTCTGCTCCACAACTTCTCCCCATGCAATCTCTGGTATGTTCTGACACTTTTCCCTTGGAATTACACCTGATTCATGTTTGTTTGTTTGTTTGTTTTTCATCTAAAACTTTTCCTTCTTTCTGAGACAATCTGGCAGCTGATGTCTCTCATCGGCCATCTTGAAAACTCCACAAGTTTGAGAACTGAACTATAATATAAACCATTGTCCAAATCCCAGACTACCAGAATAAACCCTGAATGATACAGGCATAAGGCAGACTTGAAAGAAATAGCACAGCATTTTAAAACTGAACTGACATGGGAACCATTGCAATAGAAGCTGAGACAGAACTTACAGTCTAAACCTAACCAAGTTTGATGACAACTAAAAAAGTTCAACCTTCTCCAGAGAATCCAGAATCTTAAGATATCATATTCAAAATGTCCATTATATAATCAAAAAATGCAACATACAAAAAAGCAAATGAATATGACCAATTCTCAAGGTAAAAGGCAATCAATAGATCCCAAAATTGAGATGACTCAGATGTTGGAATGATCAGATAAAGATCTTAAACTAGCAATTACAACCATAGTCCATGAGATAAAGGTAAATACTCTTGAAATGAATGGCGAGGTAGTTTTTATTTCAGCAGAAAAATAGAAACTATTAAAGAAAAATGGAAGTTTTAGAAGTAAGATACATAATATCTGGAGGGACTCAATAGTAGAATTGATATAACAGAAGAAAGAGTATATTTGAAGACAAAACAGCAGAAAGTATCCAATTTGAAGAACACAGAGAAAAAAGATTTAAAAAAATGTACAGGGTCCTTTCCCTGTTCCCAAAGTCCAGCTCAGTTATAACCTTTCTGGGTAGACATCACCCTCAGGAAATTTCAGAAAAAGCAAAAGAAAAGACTGTTTTCATATTTCCAAATGG